GACATGGCGTAGGCAACGTGTCTAGCGAGAAAAAAAAACAACTGTTAAATGTGTTAAAAGAACATATATATCAAGCTTAGCAATATGATATATCAAGCGAAAAATGAGCGAAAGTTGTAGTTCTTGTATTATAAATTCAGGATAAAGAAAGCACATACAACCGTTTCGTTTTCTAAAGTTCGAATGAGCAAAAATATGGAAAATTGGCTAAGGAAAATAAGAGAAATTTTGCTAAGGTTTTCCATAAAATTTGAGCAGAATTCTTGATATCTACTCGGACAATCGGTAAAGTCGATCGTTATATACAATATTATGTTTGAGTTGAGTGCCGGCAACTGCTTTGGACTTTTTTTTTAATAAAATTTTTTTTACTATTTTATTAGTGTTTTTTATTATTTTAATTTTTTTTTACTTTTTTCGGTTTTAACTTTTACACAACATTCGCTTTTTACAAGCATTTTTTATTTAATTTTTGTTTTTAAATTTTATTAATTAGCTCTTCGTTTGTGTTTTTGTTTTCGTTTTCGTTTGGCACAAAGGGGTGAAGGTTATTGTTGTTGTTATCTATTAGTCTTTGTCATTTACGAAATATTTCGCAAATTCAGACAAACAGTTCATGGTGTTTAAAATGTAAGCTTTTCATTTAACTACACTTTTAGTTCAACACACAACTTAGCGATCCGCTTGATTGGTTCAGCAGGTGAATCTAATTTATTTATTACAGACAAATGTTATTTATTTATTTTTATTTTTTTTGTTTAATTTTTTAGTAATGCACTTCATTGTGTTTCTAATGATGCATGTATTCTTGTAGAATTTTCATATTTTTTTAGCATAATCAGCGAGTTAAAATTTGGAATTCTCCTTCTGCAACAAGCGAAAGCGATTTTAGAAGTAATTTAAGTGTAACTCTGTAACTGTATAAGATTATGAAAACATATATACTGAAATTTATTTTTCAAAACAAAACATGTTTTTAAATATTGTATCATTATCACTACACCAGCTTTCTATTTCGCATATCTTTTTATTTATTTTCGATTTATCCACGGTAATTGGCATTATAGGGCTCTACTTTTCTTTAAGACAATTTCCATTTTTCTTATTTATAAACACCAAATTTCCATGGTTTTCACAATTGAGTTAGACGTCATCGCCGCTGTCACTGTAACATACATATGTACTTTCGCTCAGCCTTTTTGCTTTTCACCCATAATTTCTGTGCTAATTTACGTTTGTTTTTATCTATTTGCTGAAATAAATTTCGTTCTAAACGTCTCGAAATTTTATCACAGACTGACCAATAGATCACTACCATACATTTGTTGTAGTGCGCGCAAATTTTCACGATCATTTATAGATACTATTTTCCTCTATCAGCGCTCACAAACGCCGACAGCTTCGGCATTGGGGAAAATCCTCTACATCGATTTTCGTACAAAAACAAAACAAAACAAAAAGATGAAATTGCAAATTGTTGAAGAAATAGGGGCAGCAGGCCAACAGCGCTCACAATACTGAAGGTGTGTGAATTGAGTGATCTTGATATTTTTGAAAATTTTCTCACGAAAAATAGTACAAAGCGATTGTGTTTTTAGAGAAAAGGCTACGATAATTTTGAACTCATTAGCGTAGCAAAAGAATGAAAACACTCACCGAAAAGCTGAATAAAAGAAAAAAGAAATTGAGTTGCTACAATTTTTGCGGCAATTAAAATTCGAGTGAGGCTAGGATTTTATGTTACACAGAGTCAACAGTCAAGAGATACACTCAATGCGATGATCACTACAATAAATCTAGACGGACGATTAGACAAATGCAAGTGAAAAAAATTAGATGTATACTCGTATATATTGCATATATTTATACATCCACATATGTTTATATGCACGTATTTATACGAGTGTTTGAAACTGTTTATTATTGCAAAGTGTGCAAATATAAATCTCGGCGTTGCACATACTTATAGCTACACAAAAATAAGCGCCTATGTATAATAATTAATTGTCGCTGTTATTTATTGCGGCAAATTATAAGCTGTAAAAAGCAACCACATTTGGTGGTTGACAAAATAAATGTGCTGCCAAATGTGTGTAAAATGTCATTAAAAATTTATAAATGTCTACAAACATTTTTAAATAAAAGTATACAAAACTGCCAATATACATACATATATTGATGTATGTAAATAATAAATATGTACATATATACTTGTTTATTTACATGAACATTAAGGTGTACTTTTAATATGGACAGTACTTTGTGGCATATTTTAGCAGTTATTGTGGTTTCAATTCAAATGATTACGGTTTTGTTTTTGGCCAAAAAATCTTGAATAAGCATTGATGTGTGAGCTGGTGCAGTATCGTGATGCAGAATCCACGATTTGTTTTCCCACAATTCCGATCGTTTGAGCCGTATTGCTTCACGCAAACGTTTCATACTTGTTTTTTAGTATTCCTTATTAACTGTACGATCTTTTGGCAGGAACTCATGATGCACCCCACTGTTGTAATCAAAAAACAAAACAAAAAACAGTGAGCAAAACCTTCACATTTGATCGAACTTTGCGTGCCTTTTTCAGTCTTGGCTCATCCGGCAGCTTTCCTTCATAACCGTATACCCGCGTTTCGTCACCAGTTATGAACCGTTTGAGCAAACCTGGATCGTTGCTGACGTCATTCAACAACTAATGCGGTTTTGCTCAAAATTTGGTAAAAAAAATCGAAGAGCACACAAAAACGTGACTAACCTTTTCTGTTGTCAAAAACAAACTACTAATCGAAATTGTCGCCTAATGTAAGCGCATGATAAACATATGTGTCCGATTATAACAAAAAAAAAATATCGATAATCGAATGTACACAGCACGCGACAATCAAAATTCGCCTTTTCCTTTGAACACACCTCGTATATATATATACTTGTATATATATATTATGTACATAAAAATATTAAAGTTGCGTGATTATTTACTTTATTATTAATCAATATAATCATAGATTAAACTATTCAATTTCTTGATTAATGACAATTTTTGATTAAACAAACGTCAAAATACGCGAATAATTAAGATGATAATTGTTTTGGATTAACCAATAATGCCAAGTATATTTTGTTATTATTGTTTCTATTATTGCACTATTTACTATTAAAAAATATGCAAGTACTAAAAATGCATGAATAAATTTTATTTCAATTGATCTACATCATGCTACAGCCAATTAGGATTTAGACAAGCTTAGATTCAAATCTTTCACTTTCAGGAGAAAATCCCGGCATAATTAACAAACCTTACGAATACCTATAATATAAAACACATAAGTCTTCTAAGAATAATCAATAATACGGTGCAACAGCGTAAAAATATTCAAAATTATTTCTTATTTACGAAATATATATGTACATACTGATATACATATGTATGTATGATTTATCTATTTACAAGAGTGTGAAACGTTAAGGCGAAGAATTGTCTACAATAATAATAGGGGTGTGCCTGGGAGTGAAATTTGTTCATTTGCCAAAACCATGCTAATTAATTTATATATACAGCGCTAAGACATGTAATCAGATAATTGAATGCTAATGCGCCAACTGCCGGGTTACAATTACAAAATGTTTTTTGAATCACAATTTTTACACAAAAAAAGTTTTTTTGAGGAAGGTTTTATTCGGTATACATCTAGCGACTGCTTCCAAGGTGATTTGAGTACAATGGTAAGAGTTAAAGGCTTGGCAAAGCTTTTGTCTTTCCCCCATATACATAGCTCGCTATCAAAATGAAATCAAGATACTGCTCGTCGTTGGATAAAATAAAACAAAATTATATAAAATATCACTCTCCCAATAATTAAAATTATATATATAAAATTTAACTAAATGAGTCAACATTTTCATTATATTATATTTGTATTTCAATACTAAAACAATAAAAAAAGTTTCATAGCGTTTAATAATTCTTTTAGTATTCCTTATTAACTGTACGATCTTTTGACAGGAATTTTAATGAAAATTTACTTCTAAATGTCAATTTATTTCCCTCTTTTTGCGAATTGTAGTGCAAAAATAAAAAACATCTTCACTCCAACACATACAAATTTTCAGTGTTTGTTTTAAATAAATTTTTTAGATATTTTAAGCCCTCGACCGTTTGCAGAAACTAATCTTCGTACGACCACATATATATTTTGGATATATTTTGCGAAATATTAAATCTAAAATGAAATTATTAAAATATTTCGAGTATGAAAAATTTTATTTATATGCGACGTTTCGTTCGGCAGCCTGATTAATGTAAGCTATTCACTGTCAGTTGTCGACACAAGTCAAAGAATTTCCGTCGCTGCCAATGGTTAATCCGTAGCCGATATATTTATTGTTTTTTTTTTTGAAGGAGTGGCAAACACATATATTTGGCGATAAGCATGTTTAAAAAAATGCCTTACAACAAAAGCTACATGTATATATACAAGAAGTATGTATCAATTTAAGAAGTGTGCCGATACTTGGCATTTTGACAATGTGCCAGCGTAAAATATGAAATAAATAATAAAATATGTTAAAGCATAAAAAATTAATTTGTTAAAGTTTAATTTGTAAATTAATTCACATGATTATGAAATAGATATAATATTTTTTTGTTGCTTATATTAAACAGATTCTATCTACAGCTGTTGGTAGATGGTGTAATGAATACATTCCCTTATTTATAGCTATACCATGTATGTACATATGTATATATCTTAATTATACAAATATTGTAACGATTTTGGTTGATTGTTTTTTTGTTTTAAAACTTATTAGCAATTTTAAAGTTTTAAATTTTTATATTTTTTTAGTTACTTTTTATTTTATTAACCGTTTCTGCGTTTCTACGGAAGTGTGCTAATTATAAAATAAATATTTCGCTAGATACACAATGGCATTGTGTTTGTGTACGAATTTTTATACATACATATGTATGAACATTAAATTATTCAATTTTTTGTTGAACTTACCAAAATCGGAGAGGTTTACTTTTTCCAGAAATGGATCAGCGACCGGCAACTAAAAAACAAGTAAAAATAGATTATCCAGTGAATAGTAAAAATTTAAAATGATTTAAAATATTTTTTTCGTGTTTTTCGAGCGCAAAAGTTTTGACAATTACCTTTTTTTCTAGAATTCTTTTTCGAAAAGAGAAATCAATTTTTAAATCCTAGCATACTTTAACTTTTCTACATTAATCACTTAATTGCACAAATATGCTTTTACTGTTATGCTATAAAATGTATTTCTGACATTTTAGCACTTAACGTTTATTTCTTTACGTTTTGTGTTGTTCAGAAATTACTTCAAATACATACATATTTGCAAATATTGACTCCTCTAACGTCAGAAAATTTTTCCTAACCACTTAAAAACTGCTTGCCTCAACCTGATAAATGTTGAAACACTCAGTTGAAATGCCTTATAATTAAATTAACAAATTTTAAGTATTAGTACTTAATTAATATTTATATGCTAAAAACTAAAAGCAAATATTGCGCTGACGAAGTTCGAACATAAAACTTACATGGCATTTTTAACAAAATAGTAGTGAACATGCGTTGCAAATTAATGCGAAAATTCGTGTATTTATAGCTACTAATACAATTTTAAAGTTTTAAACTGTTTGTTGTTTTTAGATAATTCGTATATAGAAAGTTTAAGAGTTCACTGCCAAATATATGGTATTTATATATATATTATTATTAAAGGGGCTTAAAGAATGTCTTTAGCTCCATGTCAACGGCAGTCGGTTCTACATAACCGAAATGGATCCGCACTTTTATTATTCCAAAAATTCCCAAGTCGGCAGCATTCTAGAAAAATTTTGGAAACGTTTATTGCTACAATAATAACAACAATATTGTATTCAGATTGAATATAATATTCAAATTAGCATACATTGATCTACTTTGGAAACAACCATTAAAATAAATAAATGTTTTTTCCTTAATTTTTTATTTATAGCTGTTCCACACTTTTTTTTTGCAACTTCGAATGAAAATTCTGACTTCAACTTCAAAAATTTGTATAAGATACGACGGTAGCAAATTTTTTACACCATACAGTTCAATGCAAAAACTAATCCTAAAACATTTTTCACTAACGCAGTGCAAAACCGATGTTTTGTTAGATGCAGATTTATATTCAAGGTTTACCGCTGCACTGAATTCCATTCAATGACTTCATGAACGCGCTTCCATTCACAACAGGGAAATCAGACATACTTTTTCAGCGTACATCCAAATAAAAGCATATCGTATACCATATTATATGTCCGTCAGTCATATACATATGTATGAAAGAAATAATTTTTATTTTCCTAACTACATACTATAATTGCTTGTATACACATGACCGGAATAACTACACAATGAGCAATAATAAAGCGTAAAACGCCAGACGCAGAGAGAGATGCTATAACATACAAGTATTCGCATAGAGACAAGCCGGTGTACGTTGACGTGTAGTCAAGAGTTAGAGAGGAATTAAAAAAGTAATAACAAACTTAACACGATTACAAAGAAAATGAAAATTACCTAGAAAACCGTATAATGAGCAAATCAATAAGAGATGATAGAAGTGCGAAATTGTGCTTGACGTAAAACAATATTTATGGAGCCGGTGTTTTGAAGGTTGGTTGGAGACTAAAGTAGATCCATTAAATAATTTTCCTTTACATTTTTATTAAACAAGTTTCAAATATTCAGCGAACTCGTCTAGAAAAGTATGTAAAATACCACATAACGAAATATAAACCGTTCATATAAAGGTTTATATATTCTTACTAGGCTCATGTTAGATTGAAGGTTGGTATTTAAAAACGTGCTAAACTTGCCTCTCCCATACTATATATGTACATATGTACAACTACACGGTATATTCAAACTTGAGACCAATTTGGTGCGGAAGTTGGCACAAAAAGGGCACACCACCGAGTTAACTTACATGCTCTGCTCTCGTAAAGTGTGGGTGCAAATGTGTCTGCTTTTGGGGGTACTGCTCTGGGTATTGCTGTTCGTATTCCTGCTTTTTACACTGTCGTAAATATTCTTGATATTCACGATCGGTGAAATCACTGCGTCGTCGCACAAGTATACATTCTCGTACTGGTGAGCGTTCTGTGCTGGCCGTAGGTCGGCTGGTGGCAATCGATTCGCGTCTGTCTCTTACAAGTGGATGATGTAAACGCGACTTTTGTTGTGCCTTTTGTTCTTGTTGCTGTTGTTGATACTGTTTTGTACGCAATGCTGATTCGTACTGTTGTTGTTGCAACCGCTGCCCACTTTGTATGCTTGTCGCCATTGTCGGAAGGCCTGTGACCAAACGATTATAACGCGTTGTACCCAAACTATTCCCAAAACTATTTAGATTTCGTGTGTGGTCGCGTCGGCTAACGTGATGTCGTGAATGCCGTGCACCGTCTGCTATATCCGCTGTATGGGCACCGAGGTAGTCGACGCTGTTGTCACCACCATTTTCATAGTCGTAGCCACCTATGGCATGTTCGTCACCGCCAAGCGTCGCCTCACCGGCTTCATCATCTAAGAGTATGGGTAAATGATGAAATTTTTTCTTGCGATTTATTGGCGAATTGCTGAGCGAGCGACCTTTCGCGCGCTGTTGCAATGCAGCGCGAATTAATGCTGACTTTTTTGTGGATGCTGTGCAGTAATCGGTGACAGGCAAATGATTGACACGTATCTCGGGTGGTGGTGGACGGAGCGGTGACTCGACGACAGAGCGACGACGAAACATTGTTGATATACTATATGTATATGTACGTATGTATGTATGTATGTATTTGTATATAACTATTTTTTAGTTGAAATCAACTTTTCAGTTTATACACTTTATAAAAAGTTGCTTTTTTAATAACTTGATTTGCGAATTATTATATATTAATTTGTTCGTCTTTGATATGCACTTTAAAACTGTTTTGAGTTTAAGGTCGGTATTAAAATAATTGGATCACGATATTGATAAAAGCATTTAACTGTCGGTGTTTTCGTTTTGAAATGTATTCAAATAGAAACAATTAACAGACAATTGATTTAAATATTTTTGAAATTATTTGATTATATTTAAAATATATCTATATGTAAGTATATTGGCACTGCACTTTTTTATTATTATTATATGTTTTTAATTTTATGTATACATTTTATATTTACATACATTTTTATGAAAATTATAATTATTTTTCATAATTTTTTTTTTGGTTATTTCTCCAAAAATGTAACTTTAACCACGTTTTCTTTACACACAAGCGCTTATTTATAAAATATAATTAATAAAAAAAAATAATAAATGCACTCCATACCAAGCAGTAAATCATTCATATTTTAGGCGTAGTAAAACAAAAAAAATTAAGTATAGCTCAACTCATTAGTATTATCTTTGTTTTCACTTCAATCTAAACTTTTTTACTATGGTTTTCAGTGGTTCAATTCTTATTCATATCCAAGTATGGATTAATTTGTTTAGTTTGTTATTTAAAACAAAAAATATATATATTTAAAAAATACGGACTAATTATGTCATATTACGAAATCATGTGTAAAGAAATTTCTTCCATTTAAGTACACTTATATTTGTACGTTTATGTACTTATGTACGAGCATACCTGCACGCACACTCATATGAATAAGTGTATGGAAATAGTAAATGTAAAACATTCGTAAATGCCTGCATATACATATTTATTTCAAACATTTTCCACTATTTTATTAACCTGTTTGCACTTTTTGCTTTCGAACTCTTCACTTCAAGTTTTTTTAGGCAAAATTGCCAAATCATATAAGCAAAAAATCAATTTTTTTGAACGTTTTCACTCCGTTAGTCAACCAGCGATCCCTCTAGAAAAACATAGAAAAACACAACCTTACGCTTGTAATCATCACTGGAAACTGCTTGACTATGGTAACTCGCTGCAACAGCGATCCAGCGAACTAGCTGCAAAAGCAATTACCTTATCGTTTCTTTGCTTTGTTGTTGTTGTTGTTTGGTTTGTTGCTGTTGTTGATTTTATAGAGCATAAACCCGTGTATTTGGAAGCAGTGCAGAAACCATCACTTATCGAGTAAATAATAAAACAACAAACAATCTAACGCAGCGAGTAAACAAAATCCAACGAATCGACATGTGAGAAAAACCATACAAATTTAGACGCTCATCAATTCCAGTGAGTGAGCGAATCTTTAGGGAATGAGCGTATGAACTAACCAATTGCACAAGAAAAAAAATTAAGTCATGCGATCGTGCAAACAGCTGGATGATGGCCAAAGCGACAACAATTGGTGGATGAGGGATTAACACCACTACAATAAAATTGTGCAGTAAATCCAACCAATACAGTAACAATTGTTTGGTGTGCTAAGACGTTAATAACAGTTTAAGCGAACTTTTAAGGCATTTGGAAAGTGACTAAATAAACCGAATGAATTAAAGGTGGACACTTGAATAATAGCTGACCAAGTTTTATTGCGGTTGTCATATTTACTCATAGAGTTATGAAGCGGTGAGAGAAAACTAGCAATTTTAATTACACATACATACACCAAACATAATGAATATATGTGTATGTGTTCGCTTTTGTTGTTATGAAGTGGGAAGAAAACAAATAGGTTTCTGAGAAGGGAAATAAAAATATGTATAAGCATTAATTGTTTTTATCGCACACAAAAATGCTGTAAAGTACTTGTACCTAACGTAGAGGTACTTGGTAAGTAAACAGTATAAAATTTGATTAACTCACCTATAGCGATATTGAAAAATAAAAAGCTATTGGTAGTAATGCTGAGAATGTGAAAAAACCAACAACTTCTATTGCCGTTTTATTTGATAATGAAGGCAATTTAGATACATACATACATATGTACGCGCATAATATACAGTCGAACCAAGTTAGGCGAGTAAGAAGTTCAAAGAATAGGAAAATATTTGTATGGCATGTAGTAGTATTTTGTGCTGTGACGTGTTTTCTTGAATGACTCAAAAGTAACTTAGTCAAATAATCAAAATTATATGCAAATGCATGCGCATTTATACAGACATACATACATATATACATATGTATATGCGTGTATTAAACACAAACTAAGAATAAAAATTGCTTTATTCTTGCTAATGCTGATTTTTGCTCTTTGGAATCATCGCAAAAGCACAACATAGGCAAATTCACGTAGGCATTGCTAGTTTGTTATTGTAGTTAAAAATTAAAATTAAATTCTTATCAATATTGAATTAAAGGATTTTGTTTTTTTGTATATTCCATTATTCTTTTTTTAGAGGTTTTTTTGCTGTTTCTACTATCTTCATTTTTATATTGTCTGTATAGTTATGCAATTTTGGATATATTAGTGCGGAACTTGACTGGCAAGTGTATAATTTTTAATTTTTAAAGTTTATCAGTGATTATTTGATTTTCGAACAATTTTAATGCTTTTATTATGTATTTCATGATCTCAGTTTTAAAATTTTATATATTAATTACATATTTGTTTTTATAAAATTACCTAATTTTTATTATTTTATTACAGTTAAAGCTGTTATTTAAATATTTCTATTTTCATTATGCATTGTAAATTAGCAAACATGGTGCTTAATTGAATTTTATACTTCAAAGCAAATTTTTCGTCCAATTCTGCGGCAACATAAAACTTATCTACAATCAACACACATTTATTTTGGGCACTTATTGTTTAATACTGCTAAACAAAGATGCTTTTGTCGTTTTTTATAATGTTAAATGTTTTGTTTGCCGTCACAATTGTGAAATGAGTAAAGAAATAAATTTAATTATCAAAGTCAATAGACATTCATTCATAATAGGCGGTTTTGGATAAGACTGTGCGCAAATTAAAAATCACAGAGTCAAGTTCTATGCTTACGACAGCAAGCGAAGGCTTAGCACACCAAGGTAAACCTCATAAAAATTAAAGGCAATAGAAATTGGGATGTTGATTCGAAATATAACCATAGTTATAAGTATATTCGTACGAGTCATGAGTGTAACAGTAATGACTTTCAACAATTTGTGAAATTTGATGGTTCATATCTCATACTTAGCAATTTTGTTTTTATCTTGATCAGTATTACGATTTTACTTTAGTATTATTATTTAGAAGGAAGAAAATATACTTAGTCGTAAGCTTTATACTTGTTTTTAATAAATTTTTTCTTTTTCAATTTGCTATTGCATTTTTCGAGTTTTATAATTATTTTCACTGAAATAACACATTTAATTTTTGTTTTTTTTTGCTAAAAATTATTAATTAAATTCAACTGAATATATAATATTAAAAATAACGTAAGGCAAAATATTGGCGGTATTGATATAAAAGTAGAAGCTTTAAGTTGTTGTACACTAAATAAACTACGGAGCTTATTGTCACCCTGTGCAATGATTAAGCTCACTAAATTTACTAAAAGTTCAAGGCGAATGAAGTTCGCTAGCTTTTTACGATTGAAAGCTTTTCAATGACGCAAAACAAAAAATTATAAACAGGCACATGTAAATAGGGGTTTCCTTCTCTGTGAATGTATTTAGAATATGAAGAGAAAAGAAAACCGCGCAATCAAGTTGAATTGTGTAGTTGAAAAGAAAAACAACAACAGTATGTTGGGAGTAGTGACGCGGTAATGCTACTTTCTTTTCGGCCATATGTGCTCTCTGTAAAAGTATTTGTCTAGTTTTACGCTCTTCTAACGATTATAAGACTAAAATGACCTTGAGTGTGCGCTAATACTTGGGGTAGGACACATTTCAGCAAATGCCGGGAATTGAGGGTTAAGCGCATGACAGGCGCCAAGATTACAATTTTAATTTCATTGCCGTTCTCGTTAATCACGTTTCTTAAACTAAATTTTTGCTCGCGGCTAACAGTTTGAGTATCACTATTTAATAACTACGATTTAAGCCTAAAAAATTGATCGAAAAACCGAAAATTCATACATACGTATGCACATAAATAAATAATAGTTTTTGTCACTTACCCCTCTGGAATCACGGAACAAAATGGCGGCGTGATGAGGATCTAATGTACTATCACCACGTAAGCCTCGACTAGCTGCACCCAAAGAAGCACGCCGTTTCTCCAAATCGGCTGAGGCGCGACGCATATGAGCACCTAATTACAAGAAAATATGAGAGTTATATTAGTTTTTTGCTTGTTGAAATTACATTCCTATACTAAGCAAATTTACAACAAGTAACAGCGTGGCTTAAACCCGCAGTAAAAATAAAATCGCAAAACAAATTATGTATTCCTAGCGCGTGAAATAGAGATATGTTCGTATATGACATTTAATTTGATGTGCATCGAAAGGTGTTAATCAGAAACTATAGATAATATATATAGCTGATTAAGCTAACGTCATATTTCTTACTTAGCCTTTCACATTTTTAAATAAAACATTTTTTTACGCCTTAAATCAGTAAACCACCTATATTTATCGATGAATCCACCTATAATTTACCTTCTTTTACAATCTTCTCATAGATTTTATATGTCGCACCACAGTCCTCCAATATCCGATTGGGTCGACTCAACGTATTCACATCCAAACTCTTCGAACGTGTACGAAAGTTCTCTTGGGGATCATTCAACGGCGAAGTGCAAACACTATTCGTGTCATGCGATTTACGTGGCCAAATATGCACTTTCTTCGAGAATTGCTTCAACATCTCATGTATGGAGTGATGATCCTTGGATTTCTTGTGTTCGCGCGGCAATGAGTTATCACTATCCTCATTCGTGCTCAAACTCTTCGCAAAACTGCTATTATCGAAACGATGTTTATATGACGAAGCCGTGCCACTACCACCATTTTCGGTTGAGTGACTTGTCTGTCCGACATAATCGTCCAGCGATGTGCAGGCGGCGCCCACTCGGTGAAATATTGAATTAATGCTCGGACGTTCCGGTGTGCGTGCGCTGCTTGCACCCGTATACGTAAAGTACTGGTGATCGCCCTGCGATTCGTAGATATCATCGAGATCATGTGGAAAGTAGCCACCCTGTGTGGCATGCACCGGCGGTGAACCACCATAATCGTTCGGGTAACGGCGTAGGCTCTATGAATTGGATTACATTTTAGTATGGATTGTTTCGAAAAAAATGTGTAGTTTTGGTGTTGCTTACAGCATATACGGCAGGACTGTGAGATCGATCGAAGTAGTTACGTTTCGAACAGGTACGCTTGAAACTGTTGTTATAGCTATCATAGGAACTGCGTGTCATGTTGCTGGCGTTCGATGGCGAGTTGCGGTAGTGATTGTTGAGCGATTTGCTGCCTTCGGGTACGGGTTGCGGACTGGATGACAGCACCAACTTTTCAATTACCTTTTCTGGAATACGTTCAGCATTAAAACGGATTTTTTTTTTAATCAATTAAAATAAATCGAGCGATAAACATGGAGTAAAAAGAAGATGCTTCAATATTTTGTATTATTTGCTAAATTATTTGAAAATATCTTTGTCTTTTTCTTCATAAATGTCGAAACTCTTTTTAATTAAAGCTTTCACTTTCTTCCCGTACTTCTTTAACTATGTAGCTTACCTTGTGACCAATTCGGTGATTTGGAGTTGGTCGATGAACCTGAACTGCTGCCCGAATCAACGCTATGCAAACGATTTGTGTCATCATTACTATCGTAACTGATGCTGTCACGTGGATAACTGCTACGTGCAGCAAAAGGTGAATGGTTGTTATGGTGGTTATGATGAGTGCTGCAAGCGCTATCTACGCTCAATTGTTTTTCGACAGCATGCTGCCGATATAAATGCGTTATGCCATGCATATTTATATGTATTGATATTTATTTTTGTTGTTTTTTATATAGGTGTATATAATGCGTTAATTAATATTTATAAATCACAATTTCGGCGGTATGCGTATTTTCAATAAAATTTCACGAGTAAATTATATTAAATCACTCAATGCAGCGTTGTAATGAGATTATAGCAGCAACTAAATTTTATTATATATTATTACGACGAGTTATAAATATATAAAATCACACATAAAATAATTGTTTTTGCTTTTAGTAGCTTTTGTTCTTTTCGACGCTTTGTTTTTGCTTCTTTACAGTCACATATTGTTATTGTTCTCGATTTCCTTGCTATAAACGTTCAATCAAATGAATTGCAACACGTTTTTCTCACAACTTTAAATCAGTTGCTGACAGGTTGACGGCCAATGTCGGTCACACTACAGTCGTTTTTTACACTTTTGCACTTGTTGTTGCTGCAATTTTAAACTTAGCATTTGAGTATGTACAGAAAAAATCAATTCTCATTATCCACTGCAATACACACTTTGTGTAGTTTTTGTTACTGCCCTTGATGGTGTTGCAATGTGAACGTCGTCTTGCCGGTCACCCACTCGTTAAATTATCACAGATAGCAAAGTGTTGTAAGAAGCCGGCATCCGATTACAAAAACACAATGCACAAATAAAAGCAGCACTAAAACTCTCTCTCACTCTTTACATAAGCACGTTGTTGCATTCTAAAGTTCATTTTTGCTCTTTACATAGGTAACAGCAAATACTCGCCAATTTAAAGTTGTGTGCACGCATGCACTGCTCTCTCTTGCTTGTTGTTGTAATACCCACTTGTGCAACAATTTTAGTTTTTACTTTTACCTTTTCTATTACATTTGGCACACTCAATGCCAACACGAGCAAATTCTCGCTCGCTGCCAATGCAGCAGTCGACGTCGTTGTCGACGCGCTGGCTTTGCTGATGTGTTGCTTTTGTAAAACTGCAACTGCTATGCACACATTTGATAGAACATGAGCAACGCAATGTTGTTGTTACACTGCACCCACCCGAGCACCAATGTAAGTTTTTTTGTTATTGCTGTTACAAATACTCCAACAATGTTTTGGGGTTATTGTTGTTGTATATTTAGTTATGCGCGTTGCAGTTGTCAAACTGATAGTTGAACGACCTGTAAGTAAGTCAAAGCTGTAGACAACATAAAATTGTTTGTGATAATTTCTTTTGTACTCTCGTACACTACACATTCCCGCTCGCTCTCTATCTCTCACTGTGTGGCGAATTTGTTTGCCGCTGTCTGGACATGTATGAGTACATTTATATGACTCAAGATAAATAATATTATTTTCTACAGTGAACTATATTTGTAACATGCGTTTTAATTGTTTTGAAAAGTGTTATAAAATACATTAAAAACTTATGTGATATAAAATAAAATATTATGAAATTAATTAAAACAAAATAATCCTAAAAAAGTTAAAAAGATAAAGATAAATATAGTAAAAGGATAAAGTATTTCAAAAACACAGTAAATGTATAAACATGTCTTGAATATAAATTGTATTATTATAACTAAGACTTAGATTATAAACCAATGAAATAAATATATTTTTTTCAAATTATGTTGCAACAAAAAAGTGTATTTCTCTAAAACCGACATAATTTCTCCGAGAAGGCAACTCTTATAACGAATTAATTATTGAAAATGTTAGCTCAATAAGCTCGATGAATAGAAATATAATAGCGTATAGGCAATTAAACTCTACATACATATGTAAGTACATACTATAAATACATCAATATTAAAAAGCAGCACCTTACACACATCTTATGGCTATTACTACACTAAGAACGTTGTGAGAATGTTGTGAGAATCGACTTCTCCTAGGAACCTCAAGTGCATAAGTGCTTTTCATAAATACTAATATATATACATACATATGTAACCTACACAACGTTTATAGGAATATAAAGCAGTTAAAATCACATCTACTAGCGTCTAATTATAATTACTTTGTAGTTGAGGAAGCATTACTTTCTTCTTGTGCCCCGATTGTATTACAACAAAGTTAATTGTACATTAGTGGCGACTATTGATAGCTGGTAGCTGTCATCTTCATATCAAGACAATGCAATCTGAGTATATGCCAAGTGAATATTTGATATTATTGAACAAATGATAATATAAAATAAGACTTGGTAGCGTATGATTCAAGCGATTACGAAACTCGTTTCCTTAACGTAATAGTTGTTGCATTGGTTTTTATTTTTATTTAATCATATTTACAATTTTTCCGTATATAACTTATATTTATTATCAACTTATTATATTTCGAACAATCCACTTCTTATCAACACTCTTTAACTCTGGAACTCCCCTGTACTTGACCTAGTTTTTGGAGCATAAAAAACAAAAATAAATCGTTAGCGCGTAATCACACGAACTAAACTCTTAATAAATGACCAATTGTTTTTTTTAGTGCTATGCGTAAAGCCAAATTTAAAATTTCATTATTTATTTTTATTGCATCATAGCTGTATGGCTACGAAGGCCTTGAGTAATGCACTATTAAATAATATACAAACATATATTTTTATTGTTGAATGGTAAAAAGCAACTATAAATTAGCAATTGTTTATGAAGATGACAGAATCGCACTGCTGACGCTGTTGGCATGCGGCGGCGCTACTGTATACCTGCCTGATTTCGCGAAAAATGCGCTCGTGTAGCAAATCACGCACGCCTGCCTTTCTGTCTGGCCGAATAAGTATATAAAAAAAGTAATATCAAAATAAATAATATTAAAAAATAAAAAATTAGCTAAAAATACAATGTTCAGATGTTTTATTTGTCGAAACATCTTGAATTATGTTTGCATATACATTCATATGTACCTTAGGGTGTACAAAATAAACGAATATTTTGTTTTCGCTTGGTACTCGAAAAAATAATTTCTTAAACACTTTTAAGAAAGTTTCTCCAAACATGAGCTCTTAATTGTAACGGGAAGGTCCTCTGTCTTACAGTTTTCAATTTTTTTTATTGTCTGATCAAAAAATTGAAATTGCGTTTCCAACTACTTGAAAAAATATCTACAAAAACGGAAAAAAGATTCGTTTTTTTACCCACCCTAATGTACATACATATGTTTATGTGTACGAGTATATAAAAGGCTTATCTGCACACAAATATAAGTTGAGAAGCACTCTCCAAAGAAATGTGTGAGCATGTTGTTTACAGATGTATTAACTTACATACAAGTATATGTATACCAATCTATTTATTAATTTTTTTTGATAAATATGATATTTTTATTTATTTATTGACAGATAGCTACTTCGTTC